AGCTCTCTTATTCTCCTTGAAGTGCCACTCTAAGAAAAATACAATAGCAACAGTTCTTATAAATAAGTCTAAATACATTTTCCCCCCACTTTTAGATGTTTGATTCAGTAGTTATAAAAAGCACTTATGATGTGCAGTAAGACACACGAGCATCCAGACAAGACAGAAAGCTGCTGCAAATCTACTTCTCATCACCAAATGCTGTCGCTACGCAGGTAAGTGCCTTAATGATTGATGGAAAGTAAAGGTTTCTCACAAAGGTGACTTGGCTCAACATTGTTCATCTGGTTTATTTGCATCTCCATTACACTGAGACGTGCAGTCAGAGTGTCTCCAAAAATATCTCTATGGCTTTGTTTGCTTTCTTCTTCCTCTGTAAGAGTGTAACCATATGCTAAGTTTAGTGGGTGTTTTTAGTTGTTTCCCAGTTTGGAGTTACTTAAATGGAAAATAAAAAAAAAAAGAAAAAAGATTTGATTGCAAACCAGTAACAGTCAGAAATAGTTCTAGTGAAGTCAGCATAAAACAGGTACAAATTAGCATGAAAACTATAAGGAACAGCCTCAGGTACACCAGTTTCAAGATCATATGGTACGTTTATTGCCCAAGCACAGTGAACTTTTTAGAATGCCATGGGACTTTGAATACTATTACCAGATAATAACACTTCTAGAAAACAATTTAGACAAAACTGTACTTTTAGTTCCTGATTTTATGCCTGTTCACAGACAACTCGCCTTTTTTTTATATAGAACTGCTTTGAAACACCCAATAGCTTAACAATGTTTTTTAGACATCCCAAAGTCAAAATTCATACCCCTGAAATCTTCACCACACCATTTTCTGTCTTTCAAAATGCTTTTCAAAACTTTGATTTGCATATGGAAATATCTACATTCATAAAGCAAATTTTTAAAAAAACAATGCAACACCCCACAAAGCTGGGCTTGTAATATTTTTTTTTAAACCATGAGTCCATAGTGCAGATACCCAAACTGTGAGCAGTATAAATCAAAGCCCCTGTGAACACCTGGTGTGCATTACGTGCATATATTTTTATATAATACGTCGCTATCTCCTAATACCCGTCTCTCAGCTTACTGCTCAATAGTATTTCTAGTGACAAAAGAAGGTGCTTTTTTTCCTTCCTGACATCTTTAGAAACCAAAGAACACAGTTAACGATTTACTGGCCAGGGAATTAAGAATCAGACAGGCTCATACCAAGCCCGCCTGATCCAGCCTGAACAGGAAGGTTAATGACTTGATGAGCGCTTGCAGACAGCCCACCACAGCGCCATGACAAGCCTTTGTACGAATTGCCACAAGCCAGCAAACCGTGTCCTGACCCTTGCAAAAAGCACCAGCTATGCACGGGACGGTGCACACCAAGCCCAGGAAATGAACCCACAGACCATCTGGGTTTACAGCGACGACAGTACACTCCTCTTTGCTCAAAACGTCCGAGAGGTGCCACTGGGGCCTGCCTAGGAGGTACCACAGAGCATCGGCCACTGCCCTCGTGGTCACTTCTGGAAGGCGGGTGGCCCAGCGGTGGCTGGCCCTCGTGCCTCTGGACTGCCCTCCACCAAGCAGCGCAGCTTGCCCTTCCATTCACACAAATTAATTCAGACAACACTGTTCTTCCAGAATAATGAGGGGGGAAGTGCGAGTAGAGAGTGAAAGCTCTCTTGGCATCTGATTCAAATCTGTGAACAGCTTCTCACAAGGAACTATTTTTAAGTTTCATATCAATCTGCTTGAGAAAGGTTCCTTCTGCTGCCTACAAATGTGCAAACTCCCCCTTCGAAGAACCACAGCTCAGGATAGCAAGATCCAGCCCTGCACTTGCAACCTAATCAAGACTCAGTATGTCATGACCAAAGCACTGCACAACCACGCAATGTTCCTCCAGAGCATGCCCTGGAGAACCCCACCTGAGCATCAGTGAAGCCCCCGCATTACCTTCAGGACTCCTCTGTGCTCTTCACAAGCTTACAGGTAGCACATATTCACCCATGAAACAACCCACACCGAGGCAGCCTGACTGCTTCTGGAAGCACTACTGCTCTTACCACTGCAACAGAGGCAGAACCACTGTATGAGATTGAGGAAAAAAAGAAAAAAGAAGTGAGATGCAGTAAGCATATAGATGCTGTGCATGACCTGACCAGTGAGGTGAAACCATTGTACGCTGGGTTATCAGAAGTTCCTGTATGAAGGCATTGTTCAGGCTTAAGAGCTCTGTGAGAAAAAAGCCAAGGAACAGCACTACACAATGGATGCAGATAAGCAACCTCTGAACAAAGCCCTGGGTGACTGCAAGACAAAAAAAACTTATTAGCAGCAAGCATCCTATATCCTGTCTCCAATAAAGCAACACAGATGTTCTGCTAATGCAGGGCGTGAAAAGATGAAAAGAGCACTAAGCAGCTATAGAGCCCTCCTCAGGAGAGAGGGTCAGTGTTCAACAGCTGTTGGAGGGAAACAGCGGCTGAGCGCACAAAGACGTCCACAGGATGGGCAAGAAAAGCCTCTTAACAGGTCTAAGAATGTAACATCTCACTAGTCAAAAGTAAGGGAGGCCACCGTTATGACCATGAGCCCGTCGATACCATTGCAAACAGGGCTTTGCAAGCCCAGCTCCAGCCCAAGAACAGAAAGACCATTGTTCAAGAGTTTAGTCACCAGGGCGGTTATCTCCACTGGGAAACGCGTGGTGTACACACACACACACGCACGCACACAGAGGCTGCGGCGTTGAGGACTGCACCTCTCCATGGCACAGCAGAACTGGGGCTCTGCCCAGCGAGAGCAACCGGGGCCAGGGGGCTGGAGGAAGGGCAGGGCTTCAAGACTCACTTCTTGTTTGAGAAGTGGGGTGCAGAAACAGCCCCACCATCAACCCCTGGCCACGTGCTCTGCACAGTCTGACCTCTCCTCCCAGTGTACTTCCCAAAGGCAGAGCTGTCAGCCCTCCACGAGGCTTTCCTAAGCCTGAAAAATCCGGAGAATCTGTTCCCTGGAAAATTCAGGCCACTTAACTAGCACATACTGGCATCTGCTACTGTGTCAAGAGGAAACTGCAATGCGAACATTAGCTAACAGCCAGTTACACAGGAAACATGCTGAGCTGTAGATCATACTCTACTCCTTTGGCATTTTTTTGCTTTCTCAACATGGTGTTCCCCATCCCATTCCCCACCACTGAAGCAGGAGAGGTGTTCGCTTGTGCCAGTGGGTGGGATTTGAACCCCAGCTGCCCATACACTTGGTCCTGCATATCTCACAGCCCCAGCTGCACCGAGAAGGGCCAGCACAGAGACCTGGGCGTGCTGCAGACACTGCACCCCAGGCAGCACACATGGGGAAGCATCACACACTGGGTGACCCTGGACCACGGTGCAGCTCAGAGCCAAGCCAAGCTGGGTGGCTGCACAGGGGAATTCTCCCCAGGATGCTGCAAATGTCAGGCAAGTTCTGCAAGGGGCATGGTACTACCTTACATGGCATGCCAGCACTCCTTTCACAAATAAATGCTATAAAATGTAAACATATTAATCTCTTAATTCAAAGTATATGCACTGCCACTGGCTACAATTCAGAAGTTTCAAGGGCATAAAGAATGTGACTTCTTTCCCCCTCCGATAAAAATATTTTTGTCTCTCACTGTCAGCAAACCAGCAATGTAAATGAACATTTGAAAGTCACTGTATAACTAAGAGTCATTGCATACAATCAGATTAAAAAGAGCAAAACCGAACGCAAATAGGAAACTCGAACCTCTTGGTAAAAGGGAACAGAAGTGAAACTATGAAGAAGCCACAAACAGTAATAAAATGGGTAAACCCGTGTTACACCAGATCCAGCCCTGGTCTGAACCTGTGCATACATAATTCCACCAGTTCTGTTACTCATTATGTTCTTAAAAATAAACCCAAATCTTTTCAAGCAACAGTTGAAGTTCAAGGGAAAACTTTTAAGCTTGTAAAATTTACCAGATTCCTTCTAGAAACTCAAACAGGTTAATTACTCTGATCAACACATTAAACACAATGTCAAGAGTTCTCAAAAGCAATCAGTTATCCATACTGTCTCTGGGTTTTTACCATCCTATTTAAAACACCATTGAGGAGCCACACTCCTGGGAAAAAATAAAAAAGTGAATGTTCTTTTCCTGAGAACTGTGGTGAAGCGACCCCAAACAGAGATGCCCATCTCCCCTTCTGCGAGCACCCCGGCCCCAGCCCCGACTGAGACCCCAGATATATGGTAAATTTGGAAAGTTACCCCTGGAGCTCCAACACTGACAAGCAACCAAGAGCCATTTACTGCCTGAAAAATCAACTCTGCAAAGACAACCACTAGTGGAAAGGCTCAGCTGTAACTCAGGCCTAGCAGAGCCATCGTGTTAGTATGTCCCTTGCAGAAAGCATTTTCCCAACGCCCATTTTCCTGGCAGTGCTGCTCTCCAAACATTTTGGCTGTTCCTCATCTACAGGACCGCATGAGAGTGCATCTGCAACTCTATCTCCAGGAAATACACATAAAGCTGATTCATTATCTTGAAATGCTGCTTTCATTTCTGCTCATTAAAAGCACATTTCAGATCCCTGCACCGAATGCGCAGCCAATGTGCTCTGGACACAAATTACAGCACTGGGTTTCAGTTCTCTACTTTTCTCATTTCGGTTTCATTTGCTGCCCACAATGTACATTCTCCATTTCAAGAACAGCTATATCAGACCTGAACTACCATCAGAAAATGCCCTGAATAAAATCCTCTCTGTCCCTGTGATGCCTGGCACTCCAGGCAATTGCACTTGATGTCAGACCCAACCTAGATTTCAGGAGCTGCATCCCACACCAGCAGCATCCTCCCTGCAGAAACAGAGCAATAAACAGTTGTTCTGCACATCCCACACCCCAGCACACCGAGCCATTCGGCAGAGAAGGAAAAGCAAGTGAGCTTAGGTAATGCACGCGTTAGACAGTCCTCACCTTTAGGGAGTCAAAGCAGGCAATAACTCGACCATTTTCCACATGGCAACTCCGTGACGGATGGGCGAACTTGCACTCTGCATCAGACCGAGAACAAGTACCTCTCTGAAACTCTCGACACACTTCTAACGTCAGCCATTTTGTATCACGAACCAGGGAAACGTTTACAGCCATATTAAAAAACAAAAATTCAAATGCAAGCAATCGCACCCTTCTTCAGGGCAGTATTTACTGCTGATCTTTTTTTTTCTTCTTTTTTTTAAAAAAAGGGTAAAAAAGTGAATTCAAGTTAAACGTGAAGAAATAACTAACTTGTTGCTTTGGTAGAACTCCTATTCATCAGCACTTAGGTTTTCATTTAAGTCAAATCGTGTTTGTTTAAACAAGAATTAAACATAAAGCCAATCATAAAATAGAAATCTTATCAGAACAACTGAAAATCAAATTAGAGGCCAGCTCCTAAAAGTGCAATTGTAGAAGTTAAAATATAAGTGTTATATTTTGTGCCACTGCCGAAGTTACTTGCAAATAACTGGCAGACTTTCAAAAGAATTCTGTGCTCTCCAGTTAATGGTTTCAATTATTCTTGCAAAAAGCATATGCTGCTGGCAGCACTTCAGTTTGTGGAATGGTCTCAGTCCTTGGGGAGAAAACTTCGGGGTTTTTTTTTTCCTTCTATTTCTTGCTTCTAAAAATTACGGTTCGCGAGCATCAAAACGAGCAAAAGGACGTCTTAATTTTTTTTTCCTCTTTCTTTCTTTTCTTTTAAATATTTGCTACATACTCGGGGGAAGGAAAAAAAATAAAATGGCTGAGCAAACTGCGTGTAAATGGGGAGCAAAAAAAAAAAAGGGCAAGGCTGGAAGAGTTACCGTCAGGGCACGAACCGCAAGCAACGCCGAATTAAAAAGAGAGGGGGGCGAGGGGCAGAGAGAGGCAGCCCTAGACAGAAATCCAAGCAGCGGTGGCTTCAGGAAAGGCACTTTTCAGCAACCTGCAGGAAAAAGAGAAATAGAATCAGCCACGAGCGGAGGGTC